GTCAGAAATATATATATATATATATATATATATATATATATATATACACACACAACTGTACAAATGCTCTCCCATAATGCATTACAGAGGATTAGTAAGCTTTGTGGGTCCAAGCGAAAGAAAATGTGATTTTCTGATGTAAATAACAGAAGCTGAGATATATGGACTAACAGTTATAGTGATGTTAAAACTAAAGGTATTCTGTTTGTTGTCGTTGCTGTTAGATGGTTGATCACACATCAGAAACCAGAATAACATAATGGCTTAACATAGAGGAGCATGTGTTGTACATAGAAGTATGTGTTCTGTGTTTATTTACCAGATAGCTCTTCAGGGGGACTCGTGTTTGGCAAATACAGTGACAGTTTCCTCCTGCCTTCATCCTAACGATATCTTTCCTCCTGTAATAATATTTTGTTGTATTTATTTGTGGGGTCATATTTCACTCACTGCTGCCTTCATATGTAACATACTCTCATCAAATAAAATTACATTCAAGCATGAGGTCAATTGGATTTTTTCTAATTTTTTTCCATAATTGTAATTATTATTTGTATTATCATTATATTCTTGTTTTGAAATGCCATCGGATTTTAATATATTGACCTTATTAAGAGGTTGCACATCTACAATTTATTTAAATTGTATTTAATTTGAAATTAAAGATAAAGGGAAATCTTTAAATAAAAATGTTATTAAAATATTAAAAACATATATAGTATAAAAATTATATATACATACATATATGAACATATGAAAAGGTTGTACACCTAAAAATCCCCAGAGGGCAGCAAAGCTCTAGATGCAATAATGCAAGTAATCCAAAGCTTTCACTATTTAAAGTTCATTTATTTATTTAAATTGTATTCGATTTTATTGAAAGAAATCTTTAAATATTGAATATAACAAATATATAAATAGAGTTAAAATATATAGAAAAGTTATACTGAAAATGTGACATTAATAATAATATAATAATTGTTTTTAAAAATTATAAACATAGCTAAATGACAGTCTGTTTTATTTGCTGTCTCTGTTCCATGAAAGCAGAGATGGAGGCAAATATTAGGTGTGGGAGCACAGTGCTTCCTCTTACTTTTGGCTGGGTTCGACCCCCTCATGCAGCTGTTGAAGGTGTGGAACACACTCCTTTAAACTTGAAACTAATGTTGTATGAAAACAAATTAAAGGAAATTATCCGTGTATAAGAAAACAGCAACATAATTAGAGGAAAGTGAAAACCATGTTTTGCCTAATATATAATGAAAGCTTTTGATTTTGCACTGCCTCTGATCCAGCGGTTTCTATGATCCATGCAGCTGTGTCAGCACAAGAACAACTATTCACTGTATGCATACTTTTATGAAACAGTGCACCAGTGTGTTTACACCACAACATGTTTACCCAGTAATGCATCTACAATTACTTGTAAGAGTTATTTCCCCAGGGCGGCTCTGTAGGTATAACACAGACACTGCAAAACATTTACTCAGTACAGGATCTACCCTTGTGCTTTATAGATGTATAAAATAAATACATTTACTGTACATCCCAATTAGTAAGGCAATCGATAAGAAATACTTTCTTATATGTGCAACAAGGTTCCGAAAGCAGATGTTCAGTGAACACAAATGATCTGCGCTGATGAGTAATGCAGCCTCATTAATGACCGTATTGGTGAAGGAAAGGACTCACATATACTCACACACGCTGTCTCAGACGCAGACAGGCAATAGGTCAAGTGGGTGATGGTGATGACGCACACAATCCAGATGTCTTTACTATGAGAAGGATGTTTGCACATGGAGGTTGTCGTGTAGAATGGAGCTTTAAGTCTATTTAAAAAATGAAATATGCATTAAAACATTTTCATTTCTAAATACTAATATATTTAGAATTCAATATTCTAATATTGTCAGTCAATATGAATTAATGAATCTATCTATCTATCTATCTATCTATCTATCTATCTATCTATCTATCTATCTATCTATCTATCTATCTATCTATCTATCTATCTATCTATCTATCTATCTATCTATCTATCTGTCTATCTGTCTGTCTATCTGTCCACGTATCTATCTATCTACGGTATCTCACAGAAGTGAGTACACCCCTCACATTTTTGTAAATATTTTATATCTTTTCATGTGACAACACTGAAGAAATGACACTTTGCTACAATGTAAAGTAGTGAGAGTACAACTTGTATAACAGTGTAAATTAGTGAGTACACCCCTAAGTGAAAATGTCAAAATTGGTCCCAAAGTCTCAATATTTTGTGTGGCCACCATTATTTTCCAGCACTGCCTTAACCCTCTTGGGCATGGAGTCCTCTTCTACTCCTCCATGACGACATCATGGAGCTGGTGGATGTTAGAGACCTTGCGCTCCTCCACCTTCCGTTTGAGGATGACCCACAGATGCCCAATAGGGTTTAGGTCTGGAGACATGCTTGGCCAAGCCATCACCTTCACCCTCAGCTTCTTTAGCAAGGCAGTGGTCGCCTTGGAGGTGTGTTTGGGGTCGTTACCATGTTGGAATACTGCCCTGCGGCCCAGTCTCCGAAGGGAGGGGATCGTGCTCTGCTTCAGTATGTCACAGTACATGTTGTCATTCATGGTTCCCTCAATGAACTGTAGCTCCCCAGTGCCGGAAGCACTCATGCAGCCCCAGACCATGACACTCCCACCACCATGCTTGACTGTAGGCAAGACACACTTGTCTTTGTACTCCTCACCTAGTTGCCGCCACACACGCTTGACACCATCTGAACCAAATAAGCTTATCTTGGTCTCATCAAAGGACAAGGTGGTATGTTAAAATTTTCACATTTTTTAAAGTTTATATTCAAGATATTTTGTGACTTTCAGGTTCTTTCTTAACATTATATAAATAATTAAAAATAAAACGTGAATTGCTAAAGAAATGCGTGTATTGTTATTCTGTGTATGGTGGCAATTGCTGATAATACATATTTGAGATTTTCAGGATGCTTTCATTCACACCCATAGATGGTGCTACAATCAAACTGTTCAGCTGTTATTATAGCGCCACACCGTCTGACCAAACAGTCTACATTTGGACACACTGAGGGATCGTAGGGAAATGATGGGGATGTGTTTCTGCAGTTCTGTGAGTTTTGAGGGGTGGTAGAGCACTCTCAGTATGAAGGGAATGTGAGGACAGGATTCACCCTCTGCTAACTTGTGGCTGCTTCTGTGGCTTATACGCACGCAAACATCAATAAAGCCTTGACTTTCTTAGAAAAGAGCTGTATTACACCTGTTATGCCTCCTAAAATTGTGATTTTCAATGTGAAAACTATGAGTCTGAGGTGTTTTTTGTTGGATGTGGAATGTTTGTTTTCACTGCAAATGAAGCATGCAGAAATGTACAAACTTATATACTTTGGAGTACAAACAGCAAGTGTTTTGATTTTGTTTTGATTTATTATTATTATTATTATCAATTTTGTTATGTCTTAAAACGGTATGTAGCTACACAGAAATTTAGACCAAATGTCTTTTATGTGCACAGATTCCTTGGCTCATGATCTAGACATCCCGCATACCTTTATTTATTTTTGCCTAGAAAAGTTTTCTGCCATATTGGATTTTTTGAAAAACATACTTTTGCATACTAGTCCTAGTCTTTTTCTGTTGTTGCCAGATCTGCACCAAATTTGGCATCCATTAAGTCTGGGGTGCCTATATAAAACAATCATGAAAAACATGGAACTTTAAATTCAACATGGCTTCCAGACACCAGTAAAAAATGTTGGCTTATTTTGTTAAAATGGATAATTAAAAAGTAACTGTAATGACATTTGGTGCATGTACAGTAGGCTACAGTATTAAAAATGAACAAATATTTATCAGTCAATCGGTAGTGCCGTAATGATAAACATTAAAATGTATGTAACTGGGACTATTTGTTCAATTACCCTGCCATATTGCAAGCAATCATTTATGAGGACAATCAGTGTCTGAAAAACAAAGTTTCATTTCATTTGAACAGAAGGTGGGGCTATAACAGTGGACAACTAAATAACGCGATTTATGATTAATGTTTATGAATTTGTTTAAACATTAAATGTCAGTAAAAAAAAGACAACAGCTTTAGAATATGAACAATACTGAGTTTGTGGGCTTAAGTGAATCGCATTCGGAACCTGATAATTGCTTCTTGCAACTTTATTCTATTATTTAACCAATTATAAAAACTATAGGCCTAACTGTTGTTTTGTTTTGTTGTTTTGATTTTCATTCAAAAATTAAACAGCTAGGCGATGTGTAGACCCTTTTGAAAGAGGTTCACATTCAGAACACATTAGAAACACATTCCTTACTGTTCCCTAAGGTCTGTCATTATTTTAATTAACGTCTTCTTAAGCAGTATGTGTTCACTCTTGATTGATGGCTAAATTCAGCTAAGTGCAGATGCTACGTGCTGTCAGGTGCCGGCAGACAGAATATCATGAGCACATGGACTGCACTTTTTATGGCTGCACTCTTTCTCTTTTTTTCCCTGCCGTAAAGGATGAACTCATCGCTAAAAATGGATCCCGGTTCCTTCCTCATCACAGGCCTCATCATCAGCAGATTGGAGAATGGGCGATGAGCCAGGAGTCTTCATCTCTTAAAGGCACCCAGCAGTTTTCTTTTTTTGTTGCTTTCTCTTTCTCTCATCCACATGCACAAGTTTCTAAGTATATACTCACATACAGGAGCGTTTCTAGCCTTCCATCAGTACCTAGGCCTCCCATTAAAAAAGGTACTCCATATTTTAAT